TAGTCCAGGCTGACCTTGAACTCACAGAGATCCACCTGCCTCTGCCTCCTGAATGCTGGGACTAAAGGTGTGTGCCACCACGCCTGGCCAATACTTTTATCCTTTAAGAATCTCATACCTACATGTGGTATATTTGATTATATTCACCCTCCACTCCCAGATCTACCCCTACCCTAACCTCAGGTCCTCACTCCCTCTCCTTTTGAATTATCAATGGAGTCCAATTTGTACTGCCCCTGCACTCATTGGTATGGGTTCATCAGCTAGAGCATTTGACCTGGATATTAAAAGGGGTAAGGATGATTAGTATATGAGTTCACATTTAAATAGTATAGATGGATAGAGAAATTAATAATAAAATGACTGTATGTGACTCAATTTATTTCTGCTGCTATAACAAAGTACACTGGGTAATTTATATATCAACATTTATTATGTATGTGTGTGTGCAGGTTCATGTTGAATGGGTGCATGCACATGTGTGCAGGTGCATGTGGAGTCCAGAGAACAACTCTGGGTGGATCATCCTCAACAATACCATTCATTTCCTTTGAGACAGAGTCTGTTATTGCCTAGAGCGCACCAGTTAGACTAGACTGACTGGCAGCAAGCCCTAGGGATCCTTCTGTCGCCACCTTTCCAGCTCTGGCAGTAAGAACCCATCATTATACCTGGCTTTTTTTATTCTGGGAATTGAACTCATATAAAGCAAGCACATTACCAATTGAGCTATCTCCCCATGTCTTATTTTTTAAAGTGAGTTTTGGTTAGTGTGTAAAGAAATGGGTTTCATGATGACATTTTCGCATGTATCTATTATTTTTGGTTCTTCTTTGTTCCCCCACTGTCCTCTCTCTTCCCTCCTTGCTGGTCCCTTTCCTCCCAAATAGTCCCCCTTCCTGCTTTCATGCCATAAATATTCCATTACTAGACTGACAAATTTAGAAATAAGGAAATTGATTTCTCATAGGGAGTCCAGGAGCAAGATGCTAGCACATACAGTGCCCGGGGAGACATTACTCTCTGCTCCAAGGTAGCACCTTGTTGCTATCTAAGTCCATGCTTAAAGAGGCAGAAGAGATAGAAGAGCCAAATGGCTCTCTGAAGTCTTTTATGAAGGCATTAATTCTTTTCATGAAAGTATAGCCCTCTTACTTCACAGAAGGTCATACCTCCTAATATCACCACAATGGAGATTAAAATCCAACATGAATTTTAGAGAGAACATTAAAATCAAAACTCTGTGTGTGTGTGTGTGTGTGTGTGTGTGTGTGTGTGTGTGTGTGGCTTGAGTACTAAGAAGGTGCAGGATCAGTGACATACATCATGATAGTAGGGGGCATAACTCATGCTCTGAAACTGGCTTCTTAATACCATTCTCTCCTAAATTGAAGGTACTTAGAGAAATTCAGTACTGAAGTTGGGAAAGTAAAAATGGGCCCATGGTAGCTGGCTGTGTCAGAAACTAAGGAAGTCTTGAAGAATTATGGAGACATGACAAAAAGATTCCAGAAGCCACCTTGAAAGGGCTCCAACTGACTAAAAACTTGTACTTCATAACAATGATAATTCTGAGGCATTGACTAAAATATGAATCATAGTCCCATACTGGCCTAAATAAACAAATAATTGAGGGAGAAGAGAATGCTGTTTGTTTGGTTTGATTTTTTTTTTTTTTTTTTTTTTTTTTTTTTTTTAAAAAAAAAAAAAAAAAAAAAAAAAAAAAGAGGACGATAAATCTTTCACTGTGATATATCAAAATAAGAGATCCGTCTGCCTTTGCCTCCCAAGTGCTGGGATTAAAGGCATGCGCCACCACACCCGGCCTGGTTTGATTCTTTAAAAAATTTTGCCGGGCGTGGTGGCCTTTAATCCCAGCACTCCGGAGGCATAGGCAGGTGGATCTCTGTGAGTTCAAGGCCAGACTGGTCTACATAGTGAATTCCAGGACAGGTGGGGCTACAGGGAGACCCTGTTTCAAAAAGACCAAAAAAATCAAGGTCATGAACAATAAATACCGCAAGGAGAGGAACTGTTTCTGATCACAGGAGATTAAGGAAAGATGATACCCAGCTGCAGTGAATGACTCTGGACTGGATCCCTAGTTCAGAGAAAAAGGCTCTGATTTTTCTTGTGCTATAAATACTTTGTCAGGACAGTAGGCAACTTCAGATAAGACCTAGAGGTTAGGTAACAACACTATATCTATGTACGCATCCTGATTTTGATCATTTTACTCTTATAAAAGAATGATAAAACAGCTTTTTAGGAAATATATGCAGTTCTATTTGGAGTAAAAGGACTTAGTGACTGCAGTGTGGTCTAAAACACTTCATTAGATAATGTAAATGTAAATAGATGACATTTGTAAGGTAGGGTTGGGGGCAGCGATAAAGCAAATGGGGCAAATTGTAGCAAGAGTCGAATGAAGAGCAAGCACACTTGCCTACCTTCTGTTCTGAGAGTCAGAAATCATTTTAAAATAGTTTATATATGTGCATGTTTTATATGCACGTGTGTGTGTGTGTGTGTGTGTGTGTGTGTGTTTAAATAGCATCTGCTATGTAGCCCTTGTTGACTGGGAACTTATTATGTAGACACAGAAATTCACCTGCCTCTTCCTGCCTCCCTAGTCCTGGGATTAAAGGCTTGGTCACCATGCCTAGTTAAAAGTTAATAATTAAAAAGTTGGGGGGTATTTATTTTTGTTTTTCCACGTGTATGTGTGTTTTGCCTGCATGTGTATGTGCACCTGTGTTGTGCCTTGCCAATGGAGGCCAGAAGAGGGTGGTGAGTCCCCTGGAGCTGGAGTTACTAATGGTTTTTCATGTGGATGCTGGGAATTGTACCTAGGTTCTCTGTAAGAGCAGCCAGCCAGGGCTGAGCTATCTCCTTAGCCCCCAAAGTTAATAACTTTTTAAAGTAACTGGGCTCACCATTTAGGACAAAATGGAGGTAGGCAGGAGGAACATTCATGGACTCTCAGAAGAGGAACTATTCAAGCCAGGGCCTAGAGTAGGAAAATCCAAAGTGAATCTCTCCTTAGTGTAAGCACAAAAGCTTGTCAATTCAAAACAGAAAAAGAGAACTAAGCATGATGGCACGTGGGTATAATCCCAGCATTCAGGAGGCTCAGGTGGGAGGATTGCAAGTTTAAGGCCACCCTTGGCTACAGAGCTAGACCATATCTCAAAAACAAAAGGAAGTAAAAATTAAGATTTCAAAAGTACAGTGGTAAACTTTAAAAAGTAATTTGGGCATGTAGTTTAGAGATAGAGTGCAACCTGGATTCTTCCCAATGTCCCTTCCTCAAATAAAGTAAGCTGTTAAACCTATACACAGCAAGTAAGAGTACTTAGGTAAAAGTCTTTGAATATTGTATTTATGGACAAGTGCATACTGCATGTACAACGTCAGGAAGTTAAAAGAGCATGTGCCAGTTCTGTAATGGGAACTAGGGGTAGGAGGGGACAGGTGATTGGGGTTTTCATTCTTACCAGTTATGGTTTGTTCTTTTCCTGTAAGAAATGTACAGTGAGTAATTAATGTAGCTCTGCTTGATTAGAAACAAAAAGGAAACAATAAAGCAAAAACCAAAATGTGAAGGCCTGGGTTAAATATGCCAAATTGTTGACTGTTTCAATCTAGGATGATGGGTATATAGCTTTGTATATATTTTGTAAAACTATAAAAAATTAAGAACTAGAAGAAGCCTGTCCTTTCCGAATGAGTGTGGTACAAGAGTGAGCTTAGAGAGATGACTTAGGTGAGATCTCAGAAAGTCAGGGATATCAAATGAAAAGTGGATTTTTTTCCAATCACAATGAGAACTTTCCCCTAGACAACTGATGTATTATACATGTTTAAAATTGGCTAATTGAGATATGAACTTAAAAGAATCTTACTAAATCTGTTTATAATTTTCAAAAAAACTGTTTAATTATGACTTCAATATAGATATAAAATTTCTCATATTCTTTTTTTCTTTCTTTGAGACAGGGTCTCACTGTGTAACCCTTGCTGGCCTGGAACTCACTATATATAAACCAGGCTGGCCTTGAGCTCACATAGATCCACCTGTCTCTGCCTCCCAAGTGTGGGGATTGAAGGTGTTCGCTACCATGCCTGACACAAACTCTTTAACACATCTTTAAAATTTTTACTTGACTCCTTGAGGAACCAGACAAATGTTAGAACTGGTTAAAAGAAGAATGAAAAGACTTAGAGATCAGGAGCATTAAATGAATATGTAACTCTCTGGGGTGGGAGAGATGCCAGTTGGATCGTTTTCAGACAGTAGAAATTACATGTCCATAGGAATTACTTCACACCATTATGCGTTACCCATAGTTTCTCAAGCTGTACAATAGTTCAGACATAGACTCAAATATTATCCAGAATGGTGTGCTGTTTGTAAACTTTTTATAACTTAAATTTTTCATAGGATCCATATTTGAAAATACCATAAAGTTGAGTGGTTTTTGAGAATTTGAGAGACCAAATCTACATCTTTTAAAATGTAATAAGCCAGGTGTGGTAGCACACACCTTTAATCCCAGCACTTGGGAGGCAGAGGCAGAGTCAGGCAGATCTCTAGGTTCCAGGCCAGCCTGATCCACATAGTAAGACCCTGTCTCATAAAACAAAAACAAAAACCAAAAAAACCCACCACTGACCTTTTTAGTCAGGCTTTAGCAGTGACTGCCAACAGACAACTATATTATACTGGAAATGTATTCTCTGGCATCAAACAAAAGTCACGAGTGTCCTATGGGTTAAAAATAAAAAGGGAGGGAGAGGGGAAAACGAAGGGGTGGGGATAGTGCCTAGCATGTTCAGTCAGCACTGCAAAAGCAAACTCAATAAAAATGCATGACGTATGAAGCCAAATTTTTTGGGGTAGGAAAATGGAATTATTTTGCTTTGAAGATTGAATTCCTTCATGTAATAGTTTGTGTGTAATTGTTTCTCTCATACAAACTACTGAAGATGCAGATCTTAGATAAGTGGCTTTTATTGACAGAGCTCTAAAATAGCCAGGTCAGCAGCTTTAGGTGATTACAAGGAAGTTATTCACTTGACATAAATCATGAATCCTTTTGATGGGGAGAGACAGATGGAAATCAAGGACTCTAACTCCGTGTGTCTGTGCTGAACAAGTAGTCTAGTGGAGGGTAGATAGTGATAGTCTATCGAATAATGAAAAGATTTTGTCGTCAGGCATCCTAGAGTTCAGAGTTAGGTATAGCGGAAAGAAAGGTGTTCTAATTGGGCCTTAAACCCTTGCTTCTTCACTTACTACTCTGTTGTTTAAAATTAACTCTTTCTGCCAGGCATGGTGGTGCACGCCTTCAGTCCCAGCACTTGGGAGGCAGAGGCAGGTGGATCTCTGTGAGTTCAAGGCCAGCCTGGTCTACATAGTGAGTTCCAGGCCAGCTGGGGCTCCAGGGAGACCCTGTCTCAAAAAGA